CTTTTGATGAGAGATCAGTATGATTTGAGTGTTTTTAAAAATTAAATATGAATATAAATTACTAGTTTAAGTGCCTAAACTGAGGACTGAGTGTTCTAATATTGTTACTATAAGATCAGGCTGAAGAATCTGTCTTAATGGACTGCATTTTTATAAATGCTGATTTAGTCCAAAGCTCATCAAAAACCATACTTTTCAAGGTGGCTCAGTGGGTTAAGCATCTGACTCTTGATATTGGCTCAGGTCATGATCTCCTGGTCCATGAGATCGAGCCCCACATTGGGCTCTGTGCTAACAGTGTGGAACCTGCTTAGGATTCTCTCTCTCCCACTCCCTCTGCCCCTCCCCTGCTCACTCATGTGCTCTCTAAATAAACTTAAAAAATACTTCTCTGGGATCTTTGGATTTCCTTGAAAAATTAAGGCAGCCAATAGTGGAGCTAGCTGACTATAATCTCTATACTGCGTAACCTGTGTCTGGCTCTCTCCCTTTCAAAAAGTAGAAGATTAATTTGTTTTTTCATTTTTTTTTTAACGTTTTATTTATTTTTGAGACAGGGAGAGACAGAGCATGAACAGCGGAGGGTCAGAGAGAGGGAGACACAGAATCTGAAACAGACTCCAGGCTCTGAGCTGTCAGCACAGGGCCCGACGTGGGGCCCGAACTCACAGACTGAGAGATCATGACCTGAGGCGAAGTCGGCCGCTTAACCGACTGAGCCACCCAGTCGCCCCAAGATTAATTTTTTTTTAAAAGACTTTGAACTGTTATTGATTTATTATTATAATTATAATTATTATTATTATTATTAAATTCTAGGGGAAAATATTCATTTTATGATGGATTTTTCCAAAGATGAGTATCTTTATTTCACTCTTGGTTTGTAGTTTAGGTCTTTTCTGCCAGTATTTATCTTGAAAGACCATTTCTATCTGCAATTTGGTAGAGATGTTTTGTGGGGGAGGACCCTCTCAATAGTAATCACTCTGTCGGCCACTTTCAGGGTCGTGTTACTACTTTAAAATGCCTATAGCCACAGCATCCTGGTCTTTAAAATCTGCCCTCTTTGCCTGGAATGGGCTGTGTACTTTTCCTTGTCTGCTCTTCTGTTTTACAGGTGTGACTCAGCACATCTGTAAAATGGATCAGAACTGTGTTAATGCAGGAGGACAGGAGAACGCAGGAAGGTAGAACAAATAATTGAGGGTTCTTTTACTTGTTGGGAACAAATACCTAGGCAGAGCCACTTATTGGTAGCTTGAGAAACTTAAAAGTAGTGGGGAAAGGGTATAAAAATCCCTTCCTGGAACACATGAAACACCTAGTTATGAAACATGTTGTCTGCCATATTTCTCAAGTCCTAAAGCACTTCTGGAAGTTACTTAAAGAGAATAAAAATACACTTTTTTTAAGGTTTTTGTTGTTGATAGGAATATTCAGCTGCTAATCTTTATATTATATATATATAATCTTTTTTTAAATTTTAAAGCAAGAGCACGGGGGGAGCAGGGGAGAGGGGCAAAGGGAGAGGCAGGGAGAGAGAATCTTCAGCAGGCTCCATGATCAGCGTGGAGCCTAACATGGGGCTCGATTCCACGACCCTGGGACCGTGACCAAGAGTCGGACACTCCACCTGCTGAGCCACCCAGGCACCCCAGCTACTAACCTTTTTGAGTAGCACCTATAATGACGATGCGACAGGAGACCTCCCAGGTCACCACATGCGGATATCCGTGAAGAGCCGTGGGCTACTTTTCTGTGATTGAGCTACTTGAAAACAAGCACGTTGCTTCTGTGAAGTATCAGACAGTTCAGCCACAGAAATGCGTTAACATTCTCTGCTTAGATCATTCTACTGGCCTTGAACTTGTGAGAAGAACACTTTGAGGTAGGGGGTGGCCATCTCTGAGGATATGCAGTTTGAATGCCCAGATGTGGTAGCTCGTGCCGTCATGAAAATTTAGACAGCGTTCATTTCATCTACCGACAAAGGCAGCATGATAGATAAGCCCAGGTTTGAAATCCGCTCTTTGGACAAGTTGGATAACCTCTTTGTGCCGCAGTTTCCCCATATGCAGAATGGAGATGGTAATTAGCTCTTTGGCTGCAGTGAAACTAAGAGTGTACATGTGAAGTGTTTACCAGGGCCTGGCTTGTAAGCACGCTGGCTGCTACCATTCCTGTTACTATTATTAGTGTTGATGTAACTCTTATTAACTCTTCTCTGGGATCGTGTTCGTTTGTAAAACTTCCACACCTTGTTTTTTCTTCAGAATTTATTTACCTTAATTTTTAGACTTGTGTTTTATTTAAACATTTCAAACATGCAAAAGTAGAAAGGACACGCTTATAGGAAAATGCCGTTTTTAAAGGTAAAAAAGCAAAGTGTCACTTGAAGTGTGAAAGTAGAAGTCGTAAGCCTATTGCCTTAAGATGACTTTTTTAAATACTTCTATTATATGTACTGTACGTACTTCCAGTTCTAGACAAATGCCATTTTATGGACTTTTTCCTTCCATCATTACAGCATAAATATTTTCCTCTATTTTTTATTCTCTATTTTTCTCTATTTCTCTATCAGCCTTTGAGCTTTGAGTAGTTTGAGTGGTTTATTGACTATGTTGATGTTGCTTCCTTTTTTTTTTTTTTTTTTTTTTTTTTTTTTGTTGCTTCCTTTTTAAAAAAAAATTGTAAGTAAGATAACAGGGAAAACCTTATTGCAGGTGATTGGGGTTACCTTGAAAGATTATTTCTGTTTTGCTCTTTTGACTAGGAATCTCTGCACTCATTTCCTGGTATTGGAGAATCTTCTAATAACGCTGTTCTTTGGGAAGTTAGTCTATTGAAGGTGACATAGCTCCAGTCCATATAGTAATACCAAGTCCCCATAACTTGGGGTTCAAGATGAACGTGCTCTGTCAATACCGGCTCCCCGGGAGCAACACTGTGCTAACTGTCCTGGGACTGTCCTTGACATCACTATCGATACCTGAACTGTCCAGTGTGGGGTCTACTAGTCATGTGTGGTTCTATAAGTTTCAATTAACTAGAATGAAATAAAAATTCAGTTCTTCAGTCCCACCAGCCACAGTGCCTCAACAGCCACATGTGGCTAGCAGCTACCATAGTGGACAGCGCAGATACAGAACATTTTCATTATTGTAGAAAGTTCTGTTAAATAGTGTGGCTCTAGCTTATTCTCCCAGCTGCTCACTCTGTTAGGAAGCCTTACGCTGACAAGGAAGAGTTGTCCCTTACTCATAGGGTTTTCTAAAGCAGAGGATGACAAACATTGGCAGCCTGGTTTTTGTATATGAAGTTTTATTGGAACACAGCCACACCCATTTGTTTACCTATTGTGTGTGGCTGCTCTTGAGCCACAGTGGTAGAGCTAAGTGTTGAATAGTTACAACAGAGACTTAATGTGGCCCCCAGAGTCTGAAGTATTTACTTTGGCCCTTTATGAAAAAGTTTGTCAACCCCTTTTATCTAGAGCAGGATGTCTCAACCTCAGCACTGTTGACATTAAAAAATATATATATATATTTTTTAATGTTTATTTTTGAGAGAGAGAGAAAGAGAGCAAGTGGGGGAGGGGCAGAGAGAGAGGGAGACACAGATCTGAAGGAGGCTTCAGGCTCTAAGCTGTCAGCACAGAGCCCGAAAGGGGGCTTGAGCTCTCGAACCGTCAGATCATGACCTGAGCTGAAGTTGGATGCTTAACTGGCTGAGCCACCCAGGCAACCCAGCACTGTTGACATTTTGGCTCAGATAATTATTTGTTGTAAAGGGATGTCCTGTACATTGTAGTATGTTTAGCAGCAGCCCTGCCTCTGTCCATGAGTGCTGGTGGCACCACCTGTCCTCCTCCCCCATCCAGATGTGACAACCAGATTTTTCTCCAGACGCCAAATCATCGCTGGCTGAGAACCACTAATCTACAGTGATTTGGCTTTGACCAAACGCTCATTTAAAATACTGCATAAGAGTGCTCACTCTAAAGGGAAAGAAAATACATGAAAAGAGCAGAATAAATGAAAGAGTAGGTTTTATGCTATACTTTAGCATTCCCTCCAGAAAGAGAAATTTCTCTACCAAACGTGGTACAGTAACTGGCGCAGGGCAGAGAGCTGGAAGCGCTAAGATCCACACTTCACGGTCTGTGAACTGAGGAGCAAATGGACTGGAGTCATAGCATCACCGAAGTGGCGGGAACGTGTCGTTTATTTCACAGGTTTACAAGGCCTGTTCCCTTTATAAAACACTGTGTGACTGCAGGGCTCTTGTTGACTTTGCTGTGCGTGTAAATGTCATGTGTATACCCGCCACCTTGTGCTGCATGTGGCAAGACGGGAGTCAATAAATGTTTACTAAAATGACTGTTAATAAATTCGATAAATGGATATTTCTCTGTCTTACAATTATCTATGATTTTAAGTGGTCTATGTAGGTTCCTGCCTTCATCAGCCAGAAGAATTGAAAAACGGGTTATAAAAAAAAAAAAACCTGGCTATATTTATGTCCATTAAAGCTGATGAGAATTGAATTAAACGTCAAGGCATATAAAATTCTTTGTAAGATCTGGTGCTTGAATACTTTTCAGAGCGGGGATTTTCAAAGCTGTAGAAAAAGGTGATATTAAGAGATACTCATTTTGTAAAAATGTCGAGTATGGGGACACACATTTTAATTAAACAAATGTACTATTTCTGAATTCTTGGTTTAAAATGTGGAGTGAATTAGAATTGGGACAGTTGCCTTTGAAAGCGAGTATCAGGTACACCTTTTTTCTGATTCTTCAAATTAAAATTAAAGTAAACATTTTTCAATTGGTATTGAAAGGAATATGTGATATAGGTCATATGTATAAGAGAGCACACTTTTATGGAAAACTTCGATATGGTTATTTAGGAAGATAAGCAGTTTTGACTACTGAATTCAAGTAAATTTAGGAGAACTTGTTTTTTCTATGCGTGACATATTTCTGTTTGTTTTTTCAGATCTTACCAATATATTTGAGTCCTTCCTGCCCCAGTTGTTGGCCTATCCCAACCCCATAGATCCTCTCAATGGTGATGCTGCAGCCATGTACCTCCATCGACCAGAAGAATACAAGCAGAAAATTAAAGGTAAGAAGGCAAATGGTTTCAACTGGAGACAGAAGTTCTGTCTTTGGGGCTTTGAGATCATTAAAAGAAAAGCCCTTAGTTACTGAAACAGGCCTAAAAAGAGACCGCCGTCTGGGGGCTGGAGCAGAGCTCACTAGCCCCTACAGTTCCGAGGGTCATGGACACCTCGGGAGGCTGAAGGTCCCAGCAAGGAGGAAGAGGAGAGAGAGAGCAGAAGGGAGGATGAGAAAGCAGGAGGCACGTGTTGGGCGCTGCCAGAAATCCCTGTGGATACCCGTGCAAAAGAACTTCAGCCTTCATTTGCTTCCTCTTGTCTTGTAAAATTAGAAAGTTGGACTGGATAGTTAAGTATTAACTGAAAGGCATAACCTCACATTTGTTTCCAGACAGTGTCATCCTGGCCCCTTAGGAAAGCAGTTAACTGGAAGTTGAGAAACGCCAACTTTATCCTTAATATTTTTTTTTTTTTGGTATCATTTTACATATTGAATTAAGAAGACCCAACTGGCTTCTTTTCTTGGCCTCGTACTAGTTTTCTTTGACTTTGGAGACTTTACATCTGGGCCCATTTCTTATCTGCTGCAGATACCTGGCCCCAGGGCCCAGTTTTCTAGTAAAACTTGAAATGTGCTGTTTGAGTTAGAAAGGTACCAGTGGCAGTAGCTCTAGCTTGCTCATCCTTCAGGAGGTAAAACCCCGCTTCGTCTTTGTTAAACAGCTTACCTGCTAATAAGACGTGACGTTCATGGAAACGAACTTACAGTTTTGAAAGAACCTCTAAAACTCCACAGAGGTTTTCTGGTGTTCGTTTTTACCTCACTGTGTGCTTGAGAACCTTCATAGTGAAGAGTGTAGATAAAGTCCCCCCCCCGCCCCGAAAGGGAAGGAATTCAGAGTCCATGAAAGTAGGCCTGCTCTTTAACCAGATGGCAGGCTTTGGTATCACCTAATTTTGAGCATGACTTGCCCATCTGTATAGCAGTTCGGAATGTCACCTCCTGCCAATTGTGTGTCCCCTGTGAGGTCCGTCTGCAAGAGGTGGCAGTAGAAACAGTTTGCAAGAGCCTGGACTAGATAGGCCTTCACTCTACACCGTGTAGGTATGAGACAGGTGCGTTTGAGGCTGTTTTTTGAACAGTAGCTTACCTTTTCTTTGTTTTCTCCTCCTGCTCTGATCTCTGTCGGGCATTGTTTGGTACTTTTGTTGAGATAAAACAAATAAATCTACACCAATTAATTAAGTCTCAAGTATTTTGCAAATTAAAATCTAATTTATGTAGCAGAGTATCTGTAAAGCCAAATAAACCTGTATTTCAAGGAAAAAAGAGCAGTCCGTTTCAAGCAGATAAAATCCTATTATGAGACTCTATTAAAATTATGGCATAGGAATCACTTAACCGTGTCTGCAACCCACAGATACCTCGGTGTGGAGCGGATTTCTATGGTTCGTACATTCATTGTGCCTCAGCACTTTAGCACCGTTCCTGTTTTAGTGCAGACCCGCTGTAGTTCCAGTTACAAAAGAAACCTGATTTACATTTTTATTTCAGAATGACAAGCTCTAGCTTTTAGGGCATTTTAGCTTGCTGAAATGTCAGTGTTGGCCATCATTTGTCTTCCTTCGTAATGTGAAAATCAGGGCTAGAAGAACTATCCTAATTGCTTAGACTCACTCCTCTGGCCCCCAGCCTGTTGGTCTTCCTCTTCCTCCTGGGTTTCCTCCACCCCTAGCCTATCAGAAGCACCCCCGTTTCGGAAGCCTTTTTCAAAGTTCTCTCTCCCTTGCCCTAAACCCCTGAGGTCTAGTTTGTGTTCCCTCCTCTACTGATAATCTGTGAACTCATGTCTTCCTACTCATTTGGACCCTTCTTAAGACCCATTATCCTGACTTCTCTGCAGCTTTGGTATTTTGTCCCTTCCCTTCCTGACAGCTGTTCTCATTCCATTCCTGAACATGGTCATTCTCTTAAGATCCAGATCTTCAGCCCTCTCTCATCCTCAGTCACCACTTGGGGAGCTAATTCGCCCTTCACAGCTGTAGATACTTCCCTCCAAGTAGACGATTTCCAAAAGTGTGCCTAGATGTGACCTCTCTCCCAGGCTGCCTTACCAGACATTTCCATGCCTAGCCTTAGAGGTCAGGGTATGTAACCTTTCTTACCATGGATATTAGTCAGCATTCATATATAGTTGATGCTTTTTTATCAGGTAAATATGAACTGCCTGTAGGACAGACGGGCACCAGTGGAGCTGTCTAAAGATGGGGCACTCTCTGCTTAAAACCTTGACTGCGTGGCACCTTGGCCTGCTGTTCAGGGCTCTCTCTCACTCTGTGTGATCTACATCTGTGCCTGCACTCCTAAGTGTATCAATATGTGACCATCAAATTGGATGAGTTTCAGATACCCAACTATCTATTATTACAATACATATTACAGTACACCCTATTTCAGGGAAGTTTCAACCCTACAAAAAAAACAAAAACGGAACAGAGTAACTTAACCATATACCCACCATACAGCCTATTACAAGACCTATACATTTTGCCTTATGTGCTTCAGCTACAAGTGTAGTTCTCAGTGTTGCGTTTTACCATCCCAGCCACTTCCTTCTCCCCTGTGCTTCCCCCCTGGAATGGCGTCTCCTTCGCTGCAGCTGACAGTTCCCTCAAGGGTCAGCGCACGCGTGCCTGTCTTCCTGGCTCTCAGAGGCTGGAGCCCCTTCCTCCAGGCTTCTCTCCGATGGCGCTTGGCAGCAAACTGCTTTTATCTGCGTCTTTGTCTCCTGCTCATCACTGACCTTGCTCTTCCATTTTTCTATCTCCTGAAAGGCCTTGACCTAGTAAGCACTTAAAACATATTTGTTCCCTTGAATATACGAAGAGAGCTAATGAGTATCACGTTACAGCGTCAACAATGTCAAAGTGCAGCCACTTCTTTCTACAAATGAAGCAAAGGAACTGACCCACTAGAGGGTAAAAATAAAATTTCTAAGACTAATAAACCATTCTCTCTGCCTAAAAGATAAGGTAAGTTCTTACCTAGTCAGAAGCTTTTGAAACCTCATCTCCGCATCAAGCTTCATTATGAGGAATCCGTAGGGCTCTAAGTCAGAAGTCTGCAGACTTTTTCTGTAAATAGGGCCAGATTTGGCCACATAGAGTCTCCGTCACGCATTCTTTTTTTTCTTTTTAAACAACCCTTTAAAAATATAAAAAAATAGTCCTCGCTAGGCCCCTGCATTACATTATTCAGATTTCCTTCTCTTCCTCTCGTGCTGCATCCCTGCAACTCCATAGGAAGAAAAACAAAGCATAAGGACGTGAGGATGTGTTTCTCTCCTGCTGGCATTCTGAACAGGGTTCTGTCTTGTCTCTTCGTATCATGTGTGAGCTATTTACTTAAAAACAGTGTGCACTTCGAGTTTTTAGGAACAAGTTTGTTTGCTTGTTCAGCAGCTCTTAAAATTTTCAGCCAACAGATTCAGCCTAGACTACAGCAGCATAAATCTTCAGGTAAATAGTAGATGATAAAGTCACTAGGGTGAGCCGTGTCTCCAGATAGCAGCTCATTCCTGAGCAGGTTGAGAGACTGTTTTACCAGCTGCTTCAAAAACCTGACAGGCAGGATCTGTTTAGACTAAAATCTATTCTTAAAATAATAGATTTGGGCTGACTATAATTATATAACTGCAAGTCTAAAAATGATGGGGGATTTCCTTATAAATTACCATGGAATCATACCTAGTCCTGTTCTACCTGGGAGGTGAATAGTTTTATTAACACGGAGATAAAGAGAAAGCGTGAGGTTCACGTTTTCCCAGTTCTGCGAGTTTGGAGGAGTGCAAGCACATGGACACCCCAACAAGGCAAGAACGAGGGCGCCCCGGCAGCAGAACCGGAGGCCGGTTCGCACCCACACCATCCCGGATGTCTGCCGGCTCTCCCCTGCCCTGCGGCTGCCTTGTACACATCCACCTGGCAGGTGATGGCCCAAGGGAGTCCTAGGATGGAGACTCAGATTTCTGCAAGTCAGGTGTCTGCTTTGCCTCCCTTACTAAGGGGGCAGAATGCACGAACTCCAAAGACGTCTTCCGAGGGATTTTCCCTTTAGTTTTTAGTGACCATAGTAACTGGCCTCTTTTCTTCCCCCCGCCCCCCTGGCAGGTAAGGAAAGCTCAAACTTCCCTGGGACTTTGCCAGCTTGGGGGTCACTGAAGCGCGCGCCTGCCTGCTCACTACCCCTGTGTTTTCTTTCTCCCCACCCTCTGTGCAGAGTACATCCAGAAATACGCGACGGAGGAGGCACTGAAAGAGCAGGAAGAGGGCACCGGTGACAGCTCGTCGGAGAGTTCTATGTCTGACTTTTCGGAAGATGAGGCCCAGGATATGGAGTTGTAGTAGAAAAAGCACCTGCTTTTCAGAAAGACTATTATTTCCTAACCATGAGAAGCAGACTATAATATTCATATTTAAACAAAGCAATTTTTTTTATTACTAAACAAGGTTTTTATGAATAATAGCATTGATATATATATATTATATATCACCCTTTAGATCTTGATTTCCTGGTCATTTCTCAACCTGAGGTGCATAGCATATCCCCACATTCCATTTTGGTAGCAATATGCGGTCCGAATGCATGCATTCATAAGTCCATTTGGCCAAGTCAGCCTGTGTGCTACTGAACTGTCGAAAGAAACAGCCGCTCTGATAGATAGACGTGAGTAAAAATAACAGGAAAAAGTGGCTTCTTTTATTGATGGTTCCAAAGACACAAACCAAACCAACCAGCTCTTGGACGTGAAGATAGAATATAGCGCTTTTTCAAAACGGTCGGGAGGAACTGGGCGGGGAGGAAGGCCTGCACCTGCTGTGGGATCACCTAGAGCCGCCACGGCAGATCCCCAGCCGCTCTTTCCCGGGAAGCCTTGGTGGCCCCGTTTCCGCGGAGTAACAGTTTAAAACAGGGAGCTAATTGGAGTATTGAAACCTAACAACAATTTTTTGACTCTGGATTTTAAGTACATTTTTATATGTAGATTCCTGCCCTTCTCGCTACCAGGCCCCGCAGCCGCAAGTGTTTTGCTTTGGAGAACGTTTTGGAAGTGTTTTCTGAACCTGATTCTTTTTCTTGGGGGTAGAGCTTATAATCCATACCTTTTTGAGAGGACAGGACAGGAGGAGAAGAGAAGTTGTTTCGTCTCATCCAACACGTGCAGAGTCACATCCCCATCCTGTTGGCCACTTTGGGACTGCTACCCTGGACTGAGAGCTTTAAATTGGAGGGTGGTTGTGGGTGTTTTTATGTTGTTGTTGTGGTTGGGGCTTTTTTTTTTTTTTTGGGGTGTGTGTGTGTGTGTGTGTGTGTGTGTGTGTGTGTGTGAATCGTGCTTAGACAAGGTGCAAATTTAATCTTCACCAAGAGATGGCTTCCTCCTTGGGCAGCCACTCAGTGGACCATTAGACTCGCAAGAAGACCCGTCTGGTGGCTGTGACTCCTGGGTGCTCTCGTTCATGTTTTGGGTTTGTTTTCTCTTCTGCTGCCGCTCTTGGCAGCGGCCTGGTCATCATCTGCTTGTGGGAGTGGGAAACGGGTATTTTAGACCCAACACACATTCTAAATTTAAAATGAGTAATAATTGGAACAAATAAAGGTCCTTGTACCCAGAGTGACTCTGCATGGGAAAAAAAACCGCTGTTTTCAGAGTGTGACTGGATAGGAGGGAAGATTCGGAAATGCGATGTGGTAGAACAGGTTTTGAAGGAGGAAAATGTTCTCTCCTGTGAGCGTTAAGAGGAAATCAGACAGTTGAAAATGCCTGCTAATCAAATGTTTGCTCAGCTAACCATAGGTCCAGGTTGCCGGCAGGGTTTTCTTCAAACAGGAGTGTTGCCTGCTGAATTTGGAGAACTTTAGACAGCAAGTCTGTATCCCTTTTTTGCCACAACCAATAGGACAATAGCAGAATTAGCCAATCCTAAAACTTTCTCAAGACAATTTTTGAGTGTCCCACCGGGATGATTTTTCTTTCTGATGTGTGTCTTAGTTTAGAAGTGCTAACTATTTCACAAGGTTTGAGTCCGTGAGGTTGGAAGATACCCTATCTTTTTTTATTCAAAAAGCACAATCAGTCTTTTCTTTAAAAAGCTATATGAAGTACAACTTGCTCTTAGCATGATTATTTTCCTAAATAAAAGACAAAGAATTTACTTATGTTAATTACGGGCATGAAGCAAAAGGTTTCCTTAAAAAAGACATTTTTTTTTAAAGTGCAGTTACGTAGGGCTGTGGTTAGTTAACCGTACTGAGTTATCTATCTAGCATTTGTGGCTTGTTGGAGGGGTAGTTAACTATTTAACATGGAATGGTGTGCTTTAACTCTTTGCTAGCGCGTTGTCTTCTCATTACTTTGGGGGAGGGAGGGTCTCTGCTGGCACTAACCTGCTTACCTGCTGAATTAGCAGCTTGCTTGTGCTATAACCGTTTAAACTGTAGGTGCGACTTAGGGTAGGCTTTAAAGTGCTGGGTGGTGATTTGAGTTCAAACAATAAAAAATTGTATTTTTTCAATATTGTATAAACAATAGTGTTCTAATTACCTTTCAAAAAAAATAATAATGTCCAGATAATAATTGCTTTTAATCTTGTCAAAACAAAAAACAAAAAACAAGCTAGTAGAGCCAAGTTTAGGGGAATGTGTGTGAGCCACAGCTCTGCTCCCCAACTAGATCCGCTTTTCTCGAATAAAAAGACATCACAGCTCCCCGCTGACGGAGCGCTCTAGCACTGGGAGCCTGGTGGTGTGGAATTCTCAGACGAAGACGTGTTGGGGAGGTTGCAGGGCTTAAGGAGCAGATCTGAGTGTAGCATGGCTGTAGCATGTGTGCGTGTGTGTTTGTCCATCCAAGTCTGTCTGATGAAGACGTGATGAGGCTCCCTGTTAGCACACGGAGGCTCCTGGAATTGCTACCCAAATCACGCTGTACCCTCTCATTCTGTGCAAATCTGTCCTTTCTGGGCGCTCACCTTGGTCCCGTGCATGTTTTGGGCTCTGTGTGGGGCTTTCCCTCTCCTCCGAGAAACCGGTTTTTGATAAGTCGGACAGAATCCCTTTCTATGCTAACTTTTGTCCCTTCCTGTACCTGGGAGAGGGAGGCTGGAGGCGGAGACCATGCTTCTAGGTGCCGCAGGAGCTAGAAGGAGGCCTGGCTGTGAATCAGAGGACTCTGGGCCCCCAGTAATAGATGAGATGCAGTAAGGCAGGGGGTGTCACGGCACCAAAAGCTTTTCCAGGTTTCCCATCATAATGCTCAGAAAAGCACCCAGAGCCCCTCAGAAAGGCTGAACATTATTGCTTTTAAAGGTGGTGGTCGTAGGTCGGAGTTGCTTCTGGCAGGTTCCCTCCCTTTCTTAGCGTACCCATGGTTCATTTTGAAGTCTTACCTTGTGGTTTGACCAGCGCAAGCCATCCTCTGCCCCTGTTCAAATGGCCGAGCTCAAGCTCGCGCCAAAAGCGACGAGCGAGGTGGCCGCAGCCCGCAGCACGTGACCGCTGCCGTCCTGCAGCCCCAGCGCGGGGGCCTGGTGGGTTGCATTCAGTGGTAGCCAAGCTAGATGCTGGCAGTTTGCTCGTGTGCTTTCAACCTTCTCGCCCTCCCGGAGGTTCCTGTGCGGTTTCAACCAGCATTTTATACTAGTGAGATCGTTACCAGAAGTTGCCGTATCTGTCTCCAGTACCTAACATTGTTCTTCCACTTGAGAAGCCGTTCTCATTGCCAACTGGCTGATCTAGGCTCCTGAGGAGTGTCTCCCCTCGAAATGCTCTCTCAAGCCCTGGTCGGCCTTGGCCTGACACTTGCTTTTTATTAGGCCTCCTGTTATGATGGCTGAGAATCCTGAAAGACAGGTCCTCTGCTAGCCTTCATGGGTGAAGTTTCTAGACCCCAGCTTTCTGGGAACCGGTGTTTGATTTTGAATGGCAGACGGCCCTTCTATGTTCTAGGGACTCAATTAGAAGAGTGAAAGCCATTAACAAAAGTTAGCAAGAGTTCTTTTTTATTTCATCAACTTCCTAACCGGGTTCATAGCCGCCTTGACTAAAATCAAATCCTTTCTGATTGGGCGCAAAGACCTGCATTTCTCTGGACTTCTGAATCCATGTTCCTATTTTCTCTGGCCACTGAACACCTTGGTGGTTCCGTCAGGGATTGGCCTGGAGGCCCCTTGGGGAGGGGGAGTTAGCGGCCCTCGGCTGTTCAGGTTCTCCACGCAACCTGAGGAGGGGCCAGGACTCCATTCAGCAAATACTGTCTTGGCTGTGGGCTTGGGAAGAAATGGCCATTATTTACTGATTGTATTTGGTACATATTGTGTGATACTTGAAGAGATCAAAGGGACTTACCAGCCCTTAATTGAAATCTAAGCTTTTTATCGCTTATTTTTTTTCCTTGCCCTATCTCCTCCCTTCCACCTTTTTCCTTGCATTGTGATGATCTAGCGGGCACTTCTGTCAACAGGACAAATGCCTCCTCTGACTATAACCTCTTAATAGTTGTGTATAATGAAAACTGTAAACTTTTTTAAATAAAATGTGTATATACCTTGGCAAATGGCTGGACTTTGATCAATAATAGCCTCCATGACTACTTTTAAAAACACTCTCCCTGTTCATCTGATGACTGAGCAGAAGTTGGCTTTTCCTTTTTTTTTTTTTTTTTTTTACTGAGAAGCTCTTACAAAGGCAGATGACTGGATTAGTTTGGGAAAGGAGTGTCGCCTTTATAGACAGTAGGAGACCCCCACCTCCTCGGAGTCCTCAGTACCTGGAGTAGCAGGTGACTGATGACTACAAACAGGGCTGGCTGTGAGGCTTCTTCACAGCCTTGAAGGCCTTGAAAGGCCATGTCTTCTCGAAGGTCTTGGAGCCTAAAAGACCCCACCTGCCCTCATGTGGATCAGCACACATGGCTTCCATTTTGCTGGTCAGCCCAAACCTTCTAGACACTGTCAGCTAATGCCGAGTGAAGGGTGCCCACTTGGCCTGGAGTGACAGGCAGTGTAGCTTCCTGCTGCCTAAACAGGTGCCCCGCTGTGCCAAATGCCACTGTACCCCCCCCCCAAGGGGTGAGGGAAGGGTGGGCACGGTGGGTTTTGCATCAGAAGGGGAGCCCTGGCGCAGCATTTCTACTCCTTTCTAAAGCATGCGCCCTCAATGGCCACCAGGTGGCGATGTTGCCTAGTCTCCTGGAAAATCGTCTTGTGCCGGATTTAAGACAAAGGGAAGACTTGGTCACATGCTTTTACTCCCCGAGCCCTCTTCTGTTTTCTTCTGCTTCCTCACTTTCCCCAGAAAAGTTCTATTCCTCACTGAATCCTAATGTGTTCTCCAGTAGGTCGAGCTTTATATCTGCCCGGGAGAGGGAGGGTAAGGCCACCTAGGAATGGTGCTCTGCTGGGAGTAAGCACACTAAGCTCTCCTGGGACAAGGAAGCCCTCAACATGCCTCCAGTGCTCAGAAGCAAAACATTCCACAGGTTTGCAAGTGATGCTCACTGACCCCTCAGCCGGGTGTAGTGGGTCAACCAGTGCTCTGAGTTCCCGTCCCGCCTTTTCAGTCACTAGCTCCGGGGTCTCTGAGCTCTGCCGGCCTGGCCTCCGGTTCGTTTTTAAAATGAGCCTCAACTGGTAAGTTCCGACTCCCACCCGTCTGCAACTCAGAATTCCGTCCAGTCTCTGAAACAATACGGATATGGTTACAATATATCGGGATATGGTGTCCTGAGAGGATATTCTGGCAACCCATGAAACACTGATGTTTCAAGATCAGACAGTTTGGGGACCCAGACGGCTTTCTTTGGGAGTTTAGAACATCCATTTTCACTTGAAAGGAGAAGTAAGGGGGCGCCTGGGTGGCGCAGTCGGTTAAGCGTCCGACTTCAGCCAGGTCATGATCTCGCGGTCCGTGAGTTCGAGCCCCGCGTCGGGCTCTGGGCTGATGGCTCGGAGCCTGGAGCCTGTTTCCGATTCTGTGTCTCCCTCTCTCTCTGCCCCTGGCCCGTTCATGCTCTGTCTCTCTCTGTCCCAAAAATAAATAAACGTTGAAAAAAAAATTTAAAAAAAGAAAGGAGAAGTAAGAGATGTATCAGTCCTATGAACGGTCTAGTCTATCCATCTCACATGAGGGAGCTGCTTTAAAAACTCCCTGAGGCGTCTCAGTGCACTTGCTGGGGTTTGGGTCCCTCCCTTGCTCCCCAGTAATCTCACCCAGTGCCACTCTTGCCTCCGCCTCAGTCTAGCCCAGCCCAGCTGCTTCCCAGGCAGCAGCTGGCTTTCCACTGCCTGCCTAAGGCATTACCCCTTTCCTGGGATGGGGGACCCAGGCTTTCTGAGGTATATTGTCCTAGGAAAGAACTGTGGGCTCAGAGCCCCAGAACTTTTTATCCCCTTAAATTCTCTTGCCATCTCAGAAGCCTGCTTTCTATCCCAGGGAATGAGTTCCCGTGACTCTAGACCCTGGTGTTTCTTGCTCCCCACCCGGAACCAGGGCAAAGAAAGTTTTTGTGGATCCCACAATCCCTGGCTCTGCAGAGGCCCCAGAGCCGCCTGATAGACTGAGCAGGCTTGTTTATGAGGTGCCCACAGGCTTCTCGGAGAGCCAGATCCCCAGATGAACCCAGCATGATCCACCTGGGGCCAGCCCTGCTCCCCTGTGCCTCGTGTAGGGTTTGTGCATTCAGAACTTCTTAGAACTGAAGGGTTGCCCTGACAAGGGATTTAATGGTAGGCTAAAGATACAGGGATATTTCCCTTCGGCTCCTAGGACCTGA